TGAAAGGCAATGGTGGGGGAAACATCTTTACTTTGTTTCCGATCTCAGTGGGAGGGCTTCCAGGCTCTCATCACTAAGTAGAAGTTAGCTGTAGGTTTTCTGGAGATATTCTTTATCAATTTGAGGAAGTTCCTCTCTTCCTAGTTTACTGAGTTTTTACCATGAATGGGAGCTCAATTTCATCAAATGCTATTACTGTATATGTGCTGCATGCCCTGATGTGGTGGTCATGGTGCTCGGGGTTCTGCAAGCCCCCATTGTGTGGAGACACATCTAGGTCTCCGGCCTCGCCTTGCCTGAGTATGTCTCATCCCTCTGGAAACCAGACCTGGCAGTCACCCCAGGGCCACTGCGTCAGCCTCTGGCCAGTGTGACAGCTGCAATCCACTCACCTCCTTCTAGTCCACGAGAGGAACTGTGACAAGGAAACCTGTCCTCAAATGTCAATCCACCCCTCCCTGGTCCTGAGAATCACCTCTTACCCAGCTAGATTTCATGTTCAGCAGGAAGCCAGCACAGCTCAATTTAATCTTGAATCTGGTAAAAATGGTCCTGAAAATCAGCAGCCTGTCCTTCTTGCCCAAGGCAAGGTTCCCAAAGCAAAAGCTAGAATTGGACAATTACACAGCAAGGATAAAGGGCCTCTCTGCACCCACAGAGCCAACAGGACCCACGACACAGTCCCGTCTCCAGCACACCCATGTCTGTTCCCAGCCGAGCTGCTGGGATGGACCCAGCTGAGGACAAGCTCTTTCGTACCTGCCAGGAGAGGCATGTCCTGAAATCTCAACCCCCTCGGCAGGCAGGAGGCATGGGCGAGAAGTCACCTGCCCACCACCCAAAGCCCACATCTGGGTACTACCCCAGCCAGGAGTTGGCCTTAAGCCACACAAAGCCACTTTGGATGTTAAGCCTCAAGTCATGCTGAGGCTGGGGAACCTAGGACATGTTGGGGGGTGGGTGCTAACCTGAGTAAAGGTTAAATGACCCCTTTATTTTATTTATTTTTAAAGATTTATTTATTTATTTTGAGAGAGTGAGAATGAGAGAGAGAGAGATAGTACATGACAGGGGGGAGAGAAGCAGGCTCCTTGCTGAGCAGGGAGCCCGATGCGGGACTCGATCCTGGGACTCCAGGATCATGACCTGAGCCAAGGGCAGTCGCTTAACCGACTGAGCCACCCAGGCGCCCCATGACCCCTCTATTTTAAAGAAAAATTTTCTAGCAGACCTCAAGTCTAGAAACATGGAACTTAACACTCAAGTCTTCAAATAGAATAGATATCCCATAGCAGATTACTCTCACAAAAAGGTTTGTCTTTATGACTGGCAAGAATAAATTACCCAACTGAATATATAAAATTTAAAGATGCTCAAAGAATGAGCAGGCCCCAAGGTGAGAAGCATTTACATATCATTTCAAGGGGCAGAACTCTCCCATTAGTCACTGGTGCAGACAACTCTGAGCAGGCTGTTGGTGGGGCGCGGCAGTGGTGCTAGGCTGAATTCAGGAGACTTCCAGAGACAGAAAGGCCTGGAGACTGGGTGATGAGGAAGAACGAGTTATTCTGGGGGTCAGAGATGGAGCTGCTGGGAGGCAGGCAGGGGGTGCAGGATGCGTCAGATCCTGGAGGGAGAGGAGGGGAGGGCACAGGGAAGTGGCCAGAGAAGACACATGCCCTCAGGATTTCTTTGAACAGAAAATGACAACTCAGGTGTAACTTTTTTAGCCATTCAACAAGCATTTAACAAATACGGACTAAATGCACCCGCTGTTTAGTGGAAAAGAGCAGAACGGACGATCAGCACTGTTCGTATGTAAGAGGCAGGACAGCTCTGAGAGCCCCCTGCCGGCTGGGTCAGGCTGTCCGGATCTGGACCCAGGTCCTGGCCCACAAGTGCTCAGACGCCTGTGCCTGGGAGAATGACCACGGGGGGCATCGGATCTGAGGGGGGTCTTGTCCCTGTCCAGGGCACCGGCCACACACTGGGCCTCTGTGGGTGGACACACAGATGCTACGCTGGAGAGGACAAATCACCCTGCCTCCCGCGAGCACCGGTGGCTAGGCTGGGCAAGCGGTAAACACCAGTGTCACACGCAGGACTGATTCCAAAGTCCTTGTGTTGTTTATGGGAACGGGACGGAGCAGCTGCTAGCGCTGCGGGACCAGGGGGGGAGTGCAGCGGGATCCCTCCCCGAGCCGGTCAGAGGGGACAAGGGCACTTGGCAGCAGCACTGCAGCAGGGGCGGAGGCTCTGCAGCCACGGCCCCTCCTTCGGCCCTCTCCCTCTGACCTCAGGGCCTTTGCACAAGCTGTTCCCTTCGCCAGGGTATCGGGACCCCCTCCCCCGGTCTCTGTCCCTAGATCAAACTTCCCGTTACATCTCACCCCCAGCTAGGAAGGGAAACTGCGGGACTGAGCACGCCCCCCACCCCACACACCGGAGAGGGCGTGCGGGGCCCCTCCGAGGGCCAGCCCCTTCCGGCCCCCAGCCCCCCGCCCGGGCCCACCTGGAGAAGGGCGTGGGGCCGGCTCCCTTGAGCTGCAGCTCCCAGCGCTCGCCGGCGGCCGTGCACACCTCGCCCAGGTACATGGCGGCGCCGTCGCCCAGCTGCCCCGCGAACTGGCCAAACTGGTGGCCGCAGTAGCAGTGCGCGGCGGGCTCGGCGCCCGGCAGCAGCGCGTTGCCGCTGAAGAAGAGCGCGGCCTCGGCCTCGCGCGCCTCGCGGGCGGCGGCGTCGGCGGGCGGCGCGCCCAGGCCCAGCAGCGCCAGCGCGGGCTCCGACAGCGCCACGAGGCGCGGCTGGCGCAGCGGCGCGGGCCGCACGCGGCTGAAGCAGGCCCCCGGCACGGGCCTCGGCGAGGACGGGGCGCCCTCGGGACCGGGCGGCGGCGTCTCCACGGGCAGCGCGCGCAGGGCGCGGTTGTCGAAGCGCAGCCCCGCCAGCCAGCGGGGCGCCGGCTCCATGGCAGCGCCGCGGGCAGCGGCCGAGGCGGAGCAGGGCGCGCGCGGCGGACGGTGGCCCAGCGGCGGCGACCGGGCACGGGCGGCCGCGAGCAAGGCCCTCACGGCAGCCCCGAACGCGGCCATCCGCGGCGCCGCTGCGGCGGAAGCCCCTCTGCCCCGACCGGAAGCCCCGGCACGCGTGCCCAGTCGCCCAATCGCCTGCGGTGGTGTCTGCTCGTGCGCCTGCGCGGGCCGCGCCCGCGAAAGGCTGACTCTGATTGGCCGCGCCGTGCGTCTGTCCGCTCCTGCGGTTCGGCCCCGCAGCAGCCCGGGCGGGGAAGGAGGACTTGTGCCCCCGCGACCCGTCCGCTTCCGCGGGCCTGCGGCTGGCCGAGTGCTGAAGCGGACCGGGGAGCGGGGGAACCGGGCCTGCGTAACGAGCCAGCAGGTCCCGGAGGTCCGACCCGGGAAAGACCGGACAGTCGGGGCTGAGAGCTCCGAGTGGGGTGACCGTGCTCAGTGACGTCCCTGGTAGACCAGCAGGGGTGCCTCTCAACTCCGGGGTGAAGCCAGGGTCAGCCCGGGCCCCGTGCTGTGCCAGGGCCCGTCTCTGGATTGTCCTCGGCTGCGCCGGGCAGCGGGGCAGAAGGGAAAGAGGTTTTTCAGCTCGGGTCGAGGGTCAGTGTCCGTGGGGATAGGCCAGGAAGAGACCCGGGACGAAGCCAAGGCTGAGACTGGGCAGCGCTCCGGCCAGGCGCCTCCCCAGTGCAGAAGCACCTCTGCTCCTGCTCTGCCTCTGCTTGGGGCAGGAGTCCTCACGTGTCCTGGCTTCCGTGCCCACCCTGCCCATGCCTCTCCTAAAGTGCCTCTAGGCACCCTGTGTTTTCCTTGCATAGCACTTCCCTGAAACGAACTCATTCCCTCATTTTCCTGTTTCTTCCGTGTCTCTCTCCTCACCCATGCTCTAGGAGGGCACGGAGTCTTGATGATGTGTGTGCCAGTTCTCCCAGAATAGCGCCTGGCCAAGAGAAACTCCCCATAGATTGTCCAGGAGGTTAGGGAGCGCCGGGCCTGGCCTTAAAGCGTCTGCCCCAGAGAAGTCGCGATGACTGTTGCAGAATAAATAACTCCGATGTTCAGCTCAGAGGGGCCTGGAAAAGACCCCTGTGGTGCCTGCACGGAGTAGGTCCTTGGAAGGGCTTCCCAACCCCCTCCCCCACCTGGCCCCATACTAAAGCCCAAGACCAGGAGCTACGTGGGAGAACCCCAGACAAACACCCCAGCTTCCTCCTGGATGGATTCTACACTTAAGTTCCAGCAGCCTCTTCTGGAACCTTCTCCTGGGGCCACAATGTGGGCTTCCCAGACTTCATGAGAACCGCCCCTGCCAGCTGTGACACTGGGGAACCCCTCAACCTCTCCAGCTCAGGGTCGCCATCCCTGAGAGGAACAAGGACACGACCTTCTGTGTGGAGTACAACGTGGTTAGGTCCCTGCAGGGGCTCCGAGCCCCAGCGTCTCCTCCTGCAGCCTGCCCTCCCCTTCCACCGGAGCCTCACTTGGGGCCCTGTCTGCTTGGCCTGCTATCAGAGTCCCCTACTGCCAGCCTCTTTCCTAACTGCCTAGGGGGCCCGGCCTGAGCCTCCGGTCACCGCTCCCCCCTCCCCCAGGTCCCAGGCCCTTCTGACCCATCTCCTTACCCCCTCACCCCACTGTCTTACCCACACCTTGGAATCTGGTGGGCCTGGGCTCTTGAAGGCTCAAGAGTATCAGGCCCTGTGTCCTGCTGGCCTGCCCTCACGGAGGTCACAGCCAGTGGGGGCTCTGGTGGGTGCCAAGGGTTCCAGGAGGTCAGCATCAAGGGGTAGTGCCTTCCCAGACCTGGTGACCTTGTTTCCGGCCTAAACGTTGCGCTGCACAGCCTCCTGGGTTTCCCCAGGCCTGTCCTGGATGGACAGGCCTCCCGGGTGGGCGGGGTCTGAGCAGCCAGGGTGGGTCGGAGCTGAGCTCGGCCCCCCCCCGTCCTGGCCCCAAGGAAGACGCAGCGGACAGCCGGGCTTGAACATTTAATGAGGCTCGGCCACGGATGGGCAGGGGCCTAGGCCTTGAGGGAAGCAGTGGTGCGCACGCGCAGCACGCTGGCGCGCAAGGCGGGCTGGTGGTTGCCCGCGGCCCAGCGCATGCCGGAAGCGGCCCCCGTGTGCTCTGGCCATGGCCCGTTGAGGTCCGCGTGGCCGCAGGCGCTGTACCACCAACCGGCTCCTGAGCGATCGTGGCTGCAGCTGGTGAAGGTCTGGGCGCCATCCGTGCAGGGCGAGCAGCGGTCATGGTCGCGGTCCAGCGTGCTGAAGCCACAGCCCTCCTGGTTGTCCGTCTGGCCCACGCCCCGGAATGCGTCCCCTGCGCAGTGTGGTGGCGTGGGCGGCAGGCCAGCTGCCCCTCAGGCCCCCGCTCGCCGCCTTGCCATCTGGGGCCCCAGAAGGGCAGGCGCTTGGGGAGGGACAGTCTTCCCCAGAGCTCAGAGCTTGGCAGATGTGGGCCGGCAAGTTGGGGGCTCCCGGGACCCAACCTCCCCCACCCACCCTGGCCTGCTGCAAGAGTCCCCCTCCCACAGCCTAGAGAGCCCAGGGGGCAAAACAGGGCACTTGGGGGCAGGCACAGGGGTCCCTTACCTCCCCAGCACTCACCTGCATTCCCCGAGTACGGGCCAAGGGTCAGCTGGTAAAACTGGTCCTCCCTGTCCACGTGGAAGTGCTCATAGTGGGCCTGAAGTGTGTGGTTGTCCAGGCCCAGGAGATCCACCGTCAGCTCTGAGCGCAGGCCCGGCTGGGAGGTCAGGCCAGAGATGTGCTCCAGCCCCAGCCAGTGGTCACCTGCAGGAGTGGGGCACCTGGGCAGAGGCTGCTGTGTGATGGACCACCCCTAGCCTCCTCCCGCCATCTCTCTCCTATGTCCCCGGTGGGGATCAGGGCCTTGGGGTGCTGGCTACGCCCCTGTGCCCCACAGGCAACGCAGTCCTACCTCTCAGGTCTCCGAAGCCTTGTTTGTACTCCTGCCAGCACCTCTCAAAGTCCAGAGGCCTCCGCCGGCCCCGGTCTCGGCTCTGAATCACCGTCCAGCCACCGTCCATGCGCATGTCACAGAAAACCTGGGGAAAGGGCCAGCCCGTGGATGCAAGCAGGCCTGCCCCTCTCCTGCCCGTCCTCCCTTAAACACTTTGCATTTGAAAACAAACTTTTTCTACTTGTCAAATGTCATATAAATTTGCATCACATTAAGTTTACTTTCTCAGAAAAGGGGTCAAGCTTGGCAGTGAGGTCACAGGCCCCCAGGAGGGTTGCTCCGTTTGATGTCATTTTGCACCCTGCTTTGTGGCTTTGTTTTTTCACTTAATGTTGTCTCCTGGGCTCTTTCTTTGTTCACACCCTTCGAGGTGGGAGCCTAGGTTTCTCCCAACCTTTTCTGGCTGTAACACAACGTCCACGAACACCTCTGTTCCCCGGGTGTGTCTGAGGACAGACTCCACCAGCAGCGCCTGGCCTGGCTGGCCCTTCTCCTGCTAGGTGGACAGTGCCATCTCTTGTTTTCGTCCAAGTGACACACACATTACCCCGGGGCCCTTGCTGCAGGCTGCTCACCTTGAAGGGGGTGCTGACTCCCTCTGGCTGGATGGTGTACACGCCACTGCGGGCCGTGGGGCTCTCCAACCAGATATGAGAGCAGTCCCTCCCTGTGGGGGATACGGCCAGAAAGGCTCAGGGCCTGGGGAGGGGCCATGCTCTCTCGGTGACCGGAACCAGAACCCTCCTCCTGCAGACGCTCTGTGACAATCTGGCGGATGATTTACGACCTTGGTCCTGGTGGGTGGGCGGCCACAGTCCCCTCACCTTGGGCCATACCTGTCCCAGGCCTCTTCGGAAATGGCTGTGCCTTGGGCTCTGCCAATTTGCTGGCCCCCCAGCCCTCGGCCAGACCCTCGATTCTTCCCGAGGCCCCTGGACACCACCTCACGCCCTCACCTGCTGCCCTTGGAAGGTCAGTCTTGGCTTCCTTACCTTCCTCCTCCTGGCCTGGCAGTGGTCTGAGGGCTACCCCAAGCCGGCGTTAGGAGGGAATACCGTGGGGCCTGGTCCTTGCCTGCCCTCCCCCCCCCCCAAGCTGTTCTGGGCAGGGACCCAGCCAGGTCCTCATGGGGGGTGAGACCTGCTGGGTGGGGACCTGTGGGTGACAGGTGGGAGGCTGTCCAGCTTGGGCCCACCTGGTGGGACCCTCCCTCTCCCCCGCCCCAGCCAGACCTTGGGGTTCCAGAAGCACCACTGGCACCTGTGGAGAGAGGACCCTGGTGAGAGGCAGGCTCGGTGGCTCTGGGAGTCCCCAGCTCATGTCAGGCTAGTGAGACCCGCTGGTCTGATGGCCACTCTTACCAGCCGTCGATACTGCACCACGGAGCTGGCCTGGGGCGCTGAGAGGAAGAGGAGAGCAGCAAGACCCAGCACAGGGCAGGCAGCCATGCTTCCTGGGGGTGCAGACATGGTGGGTGGGGAGCCCAGCCCACGGCCCCACCAGCCTCCCTTCACGCCCCCCAGGCGCTCACTGTTGTCCTTCGGGGCAGAGCTGAGCCACTGGTCCCCAGCACCTTTTGTGCGGGCGCTGGGCTCACCCTGCCTCCTCCCCTCCCAGGTGCCAGGGCGGGGAGCCCGAGGGTGTGGACAGGGAGGTGAGGGCCGGGGCGCTCTTCCGAGCACACTTCCCCTTGGCAGGTGTCCTCGCCGGGCCCGGGGGGCACCTCCTGCCCTAGCCCTCGAGTGCCGCTTCCACACATTTCACAAAACAGGAGCTTCCAAAATTAGACTTTATTTCAGTTCCTAAGCAACGTGTACACGCGCCTCCGCGACAGGAACAACACGGCCCAGGCCAGTTCACGGCCCTGGGTTTCACCTGACTTTGTCAGACACTGAGTCAGCACAAGCACAACTGGGCAGGACCCCGGGCCCCAGGTGGGCCGCACAGATGCCGCGTCACAGACACACGACCAGGCGTGGCGACGACACACGCGGGAGACGCCCGGGTGGACGCCCCGTGTGGGGCGGTGGGATGGTGGCCGGCACCCGCCGGCACGTGTGCCAACTTGGGGGCCTTGGCGGACACACGCCCTCTGTCCGCTGAGAGAGCGGCACGGGGAGCAGGTGCGATCCTCCATGGCCGGGGGGAGGCTCAGGCCTGGCGGGGGGGGCTGCAGCCCTGGACACCCCCCAGCCAGGGGCTGCCCGGGGGGGCAGCGGGGGGGGGGGCAGCGTCCGGAGGCCGGCCGGGCCCCGCTGCTAAAGCCAACCCTTCCCCCAGGCTCGCCGGCTCAGAGCTGAGTGCCCCCCACCCCCCACCACCAACACACCCTCTTTGTCCCAATCAGATTTAAGGCTAGTATTTCCTGACATTGGCTTCAGTTTGTCTTAAGTTAAAATTACCTGAGTAAAAAAAATTCAGACATTTTTAAAAGCCAAAACCACACCACCTCTGCAAGGAAAGCGGCTACCAAGCTCAGCCCAGCTGCCCCGTCGGGAGGTGGGCTCCCCGGAGCCACTCGAGGGCTGCTCCGGCCCCTCCCAAACGTGCCGGCGGGAACCCCGCAGCCCAGAACCCACCGTTGAGTCGCTCCCGGGCCGGGGGCTCCGCCGCCCGCGCATGACAAGGCACAGTGAGGTAGGGGAGGGCTGGCCGCGCCCACCTCGGCCCCTCTCCCACCAGCTCGTCCTGATGCCCGTGAACCCCGTGAACCCCAGGAGTGGTCCCTGCAGGGCTGGGGACGGGGTGGGGGCAGGGCTGCTGGGAAGCCTGAGCTCAGAGCAGTTAAATAATTCTTTATTTGGGCGGGTTGGGGGAGGGCAGGCGTGGCTGGGCCTGGACCCCCACGGGGGGTGGCGCCCAGAGCTCCTCGGGGTGGGGGGGGGGGCCGGCCCCAGCGCCTCTCAGCTGCTGCAACTCGGGAGCCGCCGCCGCGGTGCTCGTCCTTCCTATTTGTGCGGCCGGGCCGTGGATGCCCTCTGCAGACAGTACTGAGTGACAGGCAGTGACAGGACCAGGCTGGTGGCGCGGCGTCCCATCCAGTAGAGGCCGTAGCCCAGCAGGCCCAAGAAGGCAGCCTTCACGGCCAGCCGGGACACTCTGCCGGGGATGGACGGCGGGGGCACGCTGGGGAAGGGAGGGCGGGCTGGGCCTGGCTCAGGGTGGGGGGGCACGTGCGCCCCCAGCCCCAGCATGGCTGCCGCCCCCTCCCCAGGCCCCACTCTGTGCTGCGGGACAGCGTGGCGTGCGTGGGCAGGCGGTACTCACGTCATGATCTCCTGGATGTTGAGGTCTGTGGTCCAGTTCTTCTCGATGCCCGGGACGTGGCCCATGCCCACGACACCCACCACGACGGAGGGGACGCACTTCCTGGGCTCAGCTGTGGGGGAAGCGACGCGTCAGCAGCGGCCTGGTGGTGCCAGTGCCCGGAGAGCCCCCTCCCGGGCCGGCCGTCGCGGTCACCATCGGAGGAGCGCGGCAGCTCGAGGCGCCGGGCGGCCTGCCTCAGCATGTAGGTCAGGTAGACGTCACGCTCTGAGACGATGGTGCGGTGCAGGTCGGGAAACTCGCCGATCATCTCCGCCATCATCTGCTCCAGCAGGTCCTTCTGCTTGCAGCGCTCCACGTCATCCTTGCTGGGGGCAGAGGGCACGCTGCCAGCCTCGTGGGGATGGGGCGGCCAGCAGGAGGCTGGTGCTATTGACCCAGGGCAGGGACCTCCGCACCCTTTGTGTTTGGGCTCACGGCGGAAGGAAGGGGTGGGAAGGCCTTGTTTGAGGAGGCTTAGCCCAAGAACAAGGGGGCTGTGTCGCACGGCGGGCCCCGGGCCGCTCTTCCGGGGTGGGGCTGCCCGCGGGAGGCTGAGGGGCCCTACCTGATGGGGTCTGACAGGAAGCACAGGCCCCAGGCCAGCTTCACTTTCTGCCAGAAGGACAGCGCCGCGATGGCCCTCTTGAAGGTGACGGGGATGGGCCGGTCGCCCAGGTGGAACTTGCAGAAAGGCACCTTGCTGGCCTGGGGCAGAGGCTGGGTGTTGGCTGGGGAAGCCTGAGCCCCGGGCGGCTGCCCAGGCACTGAGCCCCCTTCCTGGCTGAACCCAGGCCCACCTCCTTGAAGGCCTCCCTGAACTCGCCACCAGGAGCCATGCCCAGCTGCTCGGTGATGTGGGCCGACACTTTCAGCAGCAACATCTGCATGAGTCCGGACATGACGCCGTTCTGCAGGGGAGAGAGCCGACAGTCAGCGGCCATGTGGGCGCTGAGCACAGGCTTCCTCAAACGTGAGGGGAGGCCTTGCCTGTGTTCTGGGACTGAGCAAAGGCCGTGGACAGGCGGCCACATCCACAGTGGATGCCCCTTCCCTCCTGCCCCTCCAGCCCAGACCCCAGCTCCTCTGCCCACGTCCCCCCGAGGGGCATATGTTGTGCTGGGCTGGCGGGGACTCTGGACCCCCCCTTTCCCCTTTGCCGAGCTCCCTGGGGTCCCTGTCCAGGTCTTCCCTGGGGGTTGAAGCTCACCCACCTTACCTGCCTTGTCTGAAACCCAATAAAGGCATATGCCCCTCTCCCGCCCCAGGCCAGGGCCCCAGGGCGGGCTGGGCACCTCCACACTGCCTGGAAGGCCGTGTGCTCACAGGTGGGCAGAGCAGGGAGCGTGGCTGCCTGGGGAGGGGCGCACAGCCCGCGCCCGCCCGACACCGCACCTGCCTCACGGCTTGCTGCAGCTTCTCCAGGCTGAGCTCCTTGGCCTCCTGCAGCAGCGTGCTCTCGTCCATCTTCAGCATGGACACACGGTATTGGCAGAGCTCCACCACCACCACGTCGGGCTGCACCTCCCGGATGGTCTGCAACGGACGAGCCAGCTCACCCCCCAGCACTGACCCTGTCCCTGATGGTCTGCAACAGACGAGCCTGCTCAGCCCCCAGCAAGGACCCTGACCCGGACCCTGACGGTCTGCAACGGACGAGCCAGCTCAGCCCGGTGCCTGCCCCCAGCACGGACCCTGACCTGGACCCTGATGGTCTGCAACGGACGAGCCGGCTCAGCCCCCAGCGCAGACTGTGACCCAGATGGTCTGCAACGGACGAGCTGGCTCAGCCTGGCGCCTGCCCCCAGCGTGGACCCTGACCCGGATGGTCTGCAACGGATAAGCCGGCTCAGCCCGGCGCCCGCCCCCAGCGTGGACCCTGACCCTGCAGGTGGAGGCCACGCTGGGACCGACCGAGAGGCCCATCCCCAGGGGGCCACCTCAGCTGCCGTGGCAACAACTCATTTAAGTGACTGAGAGAAAGCAACACAACAGAAAAGTGCACAAGGCCACGAGGGCTCCGTGGCCTCAGAAACCCCTTTTCTGAGGGGCACTGGACTCATGCAGGAGGGCGGCAGCTCACGGGACGGAGCCGCTCGGCCCCGCGTGACGGGCCTCACCTTCACCACGTCCTTCTTGCTGTCGTCACTGAAGTGGGCGGTGCCCACCACGTACACCCGGCTCCCGTCCTCAGCCACCAGCTCGGTCACTGTGCGCGGCAGGCTGGGCCGCTCTCGTCGCCTCCTCAGCTTCATCTCCAGGAGCAGGGTCAGCGCGTCCGCGTCGGCTGCAAGGACAGCAGCTCAGCTGGGGTGCCGTGCACACCGGTGGCCTGGGCTCCCGGCTCTCAGGCCGAGCCACACCCGGGGCCCAGATGCACACAGGGGCACGCGCCCCCAAGCAGCACCGCCCACGGGGGTCCCTCCCAGCTGTGACGAGCCGGTCCCTGCTCACTACGGAGTGCAGCTGGGCTCAGCACCGTCTGACAAGACCCTCCCTGTGGAAAGGGTCCTGGGCCTCGGGAAGCTCTGCATCCTCCACGAGGGGGAGCCCCCAGCCGTCACAGCCTCCACGGCGTCTCTGAAGCACTCAGCCCCCCACCCCAGGGAAGGGGCTCCTGATGGAGCTCCACCAACCCTGCCTATGCTCCAGAGCCTCCTCCCCAACAACCCGGGGCTGGCCCGGGCCGCTGGTCGCCAGACTCAGATCACCCAGTCCGAGCCCCT